AAACGGAACTGTTTTGGCCATTGGTTCTCAGAAAAAACAGTCCGACCTGCTTGGTCCAACCCCGAGTCAAATGGTTTTGGGGTCTAAAACTGGATCCGGATACATGGCTGTTTCTTGGGTCAACCGGTTTGACCGTCTGATCCAGTCCAATTTTCAAAATCATGAAAAAAACATCCTTTGCCTCATGAATAATAGGAGTGGCACAAAGAAAGGAATTGTCTTCATTAGAAATAATTAGTGGCAACAAAGAGAGATCAAGATCTAGGAGGTGAGAAGCTTTAGAAGAGAAAATGGTMTCAAAATAAGTTAGGAGAGAATTGGCTATAAAGGTCAGCTCACATAACCAAGGTTCAAAATTTTGATATGATATGCCTCGTATCGGGCATATCGTATCGTATCTTTAGGGRTCCGATACACCTATTTACAGGTGTTTCGAGACCCCACTCTTTTTTAATAAAAAAATATGGTTAAATAGCTTCCTAAAAATCAAATTTTGAAAAAAAAAGGTATTTCTGCTTGTATCTAAGTACCGATATGCCTTTGCCGATACGCAAAGAGACGTATTGATACTTTGAACCACGCACATAACCATTTACTATCAACCCCTTTGAGGTTCTTTTTTGCTTTGAGCCAATTAATAGAATTCTTCTTTTTTGTGAATGAAAGTTTTGAGATGAAAATACTTAATATTTTTATCACCTTCTTTGATAAAATCATATTTGCTACTTATTTCCAATACATCTCCTCTAGAAYACGATAATGACCCATTTGTTCAACTCGTTGTAAAGTAGAAATCTGAGCAAAGAGGTCYTTTATAGTATGAAGTGGATTGTTTACCCCATTTGTTCAACTCAAACTTACAAACAGTACACTTCGAAGGAAAGTCACCATCACTAGTATTTCAACAAGATTAAAGCATTGCAGAGAAGAACACGAGCAAAAGGTAATTTGCTATCCCAATCTGGGCAAACAAGAACCCCATCCAATCGTTCCCAAATGAGTGGGCCAGAAAATCCAAGATCAATTAAACCACAACTATCTATGAAGTTGTGGAATTGAGTAGAGAGGTGAAGGGAGACCGGCAARCCGGCCACCCTCCCTCCTTCTCTACATCTGAAGTCACAGTATTGAAATCACCAAGAAGCTAGGTTTGAAGGAAGAGTGGGATGCCCATATACACAAACTAAATTCCAATGAAAACAACAAATTTGATGAAATGAAGAGAAGAATTAATCAACAATGCCAAATGGTCTATATAAATTTCATTACACCACCCAAGCCACAATCCACCGAAGTAACCTTCAGAAGGTACAAAATAACCATGAAAATCTGCAGGTAGAGATCGAAAGAAACCCCATAGAGTGTGATTGCTGGCAGCAAGTTTCTGAGACGAATAACACCTTATAACATTAGTATTGTGGAGAAGCTATTTTAAGTAGAGAGAACTACAGCCTACACCTACAGGGTAGCTTCTACATCCTTGGCAGTTCCGCGATTACAGCTTCATGAGGCAGGTGGGACTTGGTTAGGGTGCGCCTCCACCCATGTACCATGAATGTGGTCATCAATGGAATAGGAAATAATGTGATGAGTTTGGGTCTTCAATCGTTGTTTGCCAGGCTGAAGAGAGGAAGAACCCAAAAGAGCTTGAAGCTTTTTACTTGCAATTGAGTGTAACAAACAAGGATGTCTGCGCTTTCCCTTACTAGAATGTGTAACAACGTCCACCATCATATATAGGGTTAGTGAGCATCAGGTAA